AAGCACTTCTATCTCAAGCACACAACCCCATTTTGAGTCTCCAAACACTGCAGATCCCTGCAGTGCACTCCCGTGTCGCTCCTCCTAGGGAAGGAGGGGGGTCTCACCGGTTCTGCCACTTGTTGGGCCCCAGCTCATAGACCAGTGGCCCAGCTATGCCCCGGTTCACAGTTTATGGCAGCCCCGAGCTGAGAGTCCACTCCTGGACTCTCTTTAAAGCCAGCTTCCCCACTCTGATGCCTGGGAACTCTGCTGCACTCAAGCACCCCTGGTCTTCCTGTGACCCCAAGAGTCCTGAGACCACACTGTCCCAGCTAGGGTTCCACCCCTGCTTAGCAGCCTGGGCCATGTCCCTCACCAGAGCAGACTTCTAAGTTCTGATTTTGTGCTCTGCTGCTCTCTCACTTGCCAGTAGCTGCTAATGGAGGCTCCCTCCACCCGCGGTCTATCTTCCCATATATCACTTCTGATTCTCTTCTCCGCACCTCCTACCTTGCAGAAAGTGGTCACTTTTCTATTTGTAGAGCTACAGCTATTCTTTTCTTAGATCTCTGGTTGAGTTCGCAGGTGGTCAGAATGATTTGATAGCTATCTAGCTGAATTCCTGGGACTAGACGAAATTAAGGTCTCCTACTCCTCCACCATCTTGGACTCTCCTCCTCAAATGCTTTTTCTACATCAACTGAGAGGATCATATGGTTCTTGTCCTTTCTTTTATTAATGTAGTGTATCACATTCATTGATTTGCAGATGTTGAACCAAACTTGCAGCCCAGAAATAAATCCCACTTGGTCGTGGTGAATAATCCTTTTAATGTACTGTTGGATCCTATTGGCTAGTGTCTTGGTGAGAATTTTGGCACCCATGTTCATCAGGAATATTGGTCTGTAATTCTCCTTTTTGGTGGGGTCTTTGTCTGGTTTTCGGATCAAGGTAATGCTGGCCTCATAGAACAAGTTTGGAAGTTTTCTTTCCATTTCTAGTTTTTGAAACAGCTTCAGAAGAATAGGTATTAATTCTTCTTTAAATGTTTGGTAGAGTTCCCCTGGGAAGCCATCTGGCCCTGGGTTCTTGTTTGTTGGGAGATTTTTGATGACTGCTTCAATTTCCTTAGTGGTTATGGGTCTGTTCAGGTTTTCTATTTCTTCCTGTTTCAGTTTTTGTATTTTGTATGTTTCTAGTAATGCATCCATTTCTTCCAGATTGCCTAATTTGTTGGCATATAGTTGTTCATAATATGTTCTTATAATTGTTTGTATTTCTTTGGTGTTGGTTGTGATCTCTCCTCTTTCATTCATGTTTTTATTTATTTAGGTCCTTTCTCTTTTCTTTTTGATAAGTCTGGCCAGGAGTTTACCAATCTTATTCAGTCTTTCAAAGAACCAGCTCCTAGTTTCATTGATCCGTTCTACTGTTCTTTTGGTTTCGATTTCATTGATTTCTGCTCTAATCTTTATTATTTCTCTTCTCTTGCTTGGCTTAGGCTTTATTTGCTTCTCCAGCTCCTTCAGGCATAAGGTTAGGTTGTGTATTTGAGACTTTTCTTTTTTCTTGAGAAAGACTTGTATTGCTATGTACTTACTTCTTAGGACTGTCTTTGCTGCATCCCAAAGATTTTGAACAGTTATGTTTTCATTTTCATTGGTTTCCATGAATTTTTTAAATACTTCTTTAGTTTCCTGGTTGACCCATTCTTTCTTTAGTAGGATGTTTTTTAGCCTCTATGTATTTTTCTTTCCAAATTTCCTCTTGTAATTGAGTTCCAGTTTCACAGCATTGTGGTCTGAAAATATGCAGGGAATGATCCCAGTCTTTTGGTACCTGTTGAGAACTAATTTGTGACCCAGCATGTGATCTATTCTGGAGAATGTTCCATGTGCACTCGAGAAGAATGTGTATTCTGTTCCTTTAGGATGGAATACTCTGAATGTATCTGTGAAGTCCATCTGGTCCAGTGTGTCATTCAAAGCCCTTGTTTCCTTGTTGATCTTTGGCTTAGATGGTCTGTCCATTGCAGTGAGGGGGGTGTTACAGTCCCCTACTATCATTGTATTATTATCGATGTGCTTCTTTAATTTTGTTATTAATTGGTTTATATAATTGGCTGCTCCCATGTCAGGGGCATAAATATTTATAACTGTTAGATCTTCTTGATAGCCTCTTTAAGTATGACATAGTGTTCTTCCTCGTGTCTTATTACAGTCTTTGGTTTAAAATCTAATTTGTCTGCTATAAGGATTGCCACCCCAGCTTTCTTTTGGTGTCCATTAGCATGATAAATAGTTTTCCACCCCCTCAGTTTCAATCTGGAGGTGTCTTTGGATCTAAAATGAGTCTCTTGCAGACAGCATATTGATGGTCTTGCTTTTTTATCCAATCTGATAGCCTGTGTCTTTTGATTGGGGCATTTAGCTCATTTACATTCAGAGTAACTGTTGAAAGATATGAATTGAGTGCCACTGTATTACCTGTAAAGTCACTGTTTCTGTATATTGTCTCTATACCTTTCTGGTCTATGTTATTTTGGGGCTCTCTCTTTGCTTACAAGATTCCCTTTAATATTCCTTGCAGGGCTGGTTTAGTGATCACAAATTGCTTTAGTTTCTGTTTGTCCTGGAAGCTCTTTATCTCTCCTTCCATTCTGAATGACAACCTTGCTGGACAAAGTATTCTTGGCTGCATGTTTTTCTCATTTAGTACCCTGAATATACCATGTCAGTCCTTTCTGGCCTGCCATGTCTCTGTGGATAGGTCTTCTGCCAATCTAATGTTTCTACCCTTGTAGGTTAAGGACCTCTCGTCTCGAGCTTCTTTCAGGATTTTATCTTTATCTCTGAAATTTGCAAGCTTCACATTATATGTCAGGGCATTGATCTCTTTTTATTGATTTTGAGGATGGTTCTCTGGGCCTCCTGGACTTGAATGCTTGTTTCCTTCCCCAGATTAGGGAAGTTCTCAGCTATAATTTGTTCAAATAAACCTTCTGTCCCTCTCTCTCTCTCTCTCTCTCTTTCTTCATCTTCTGGGACCCCTATTATTCGAATATTACTGAACTTTAAGGTATCACTGATTTCTAGAAGCCTCCCCTCATGATTCTGTAGTTTTTTTCCCCTCTTTTTCTCAGCTTCCTTACTTTCCATCATTTTGTCTTCTATATCACTGACTCTCTCTTCTGCCTCATTTACCCTAGCAGTTAGAGCCTCCATTTTTTACTGATCTCAGTAATAACACTTTTTATTTTGACCTGATTAGATTTTAGTTCTGTTATTTCTACACTAAGGGATTCTTTAGTGTCTTTTATGCTTTTTTCAACCCCAGCTAGTATCTTTATAATCGTTATTCTGAGTTCTAGCTCCAACATCTTACTTATATCCATATCAATTAAATCTATGGCAGAGAGTATTACCTCTGCTTCTTTCTTTTGTTGTGAACTTCTCCTTCTAGTAATTTTGTTCAGAAAGGAAAGGAGGAAAGAAAGAGAAAGAAAAAGAAAGGAAAAAAGGAAAAAAAACAGCAAAAACAGCAATAATAATCAACAACAACAACAACATCTTCAGGAAGTGATTCTGGTGTATGCTCTGTACACTCTGCTGTTGTGTTTTGGCTGCTCTTTCCACTGGTACTTCCTCTACAGAGTTCCTCCTTGTTTGTAGTGGGGGGTGTTTGTTCCTTTAAGTACGTATGCTTTGATTTTTTTGTGAAGTTAAGCTGGAAGCTGATGGAGTTTTCTTTAATCAGTGGACTCAGTATATGCTGGGGTTTGTGTTTGTCTTCTGAGGGAAAGGCCTGCTGTGCTGGCTCACAAGCTGACTTGCCCTCAGAAAGATGCTCCTGCCAGGTCAGGGAGTAGGGTTTACTGTAGGGGATTCAAGCCTCAACCCGAGGCTCTGTGTTTCTCTCTGGAGTCTGTGCTGGTGGGCAGGAAGAGGGCGTCATGGTGGAGAAGGTAGAATATGGTGTCACCTCATCCCTTTGTCCCTGGGAGGGCAGAACTCCCAGCAGCCACTGCTCAGGAGGCCCTCCCAGAAAATCGAGCAATCTCCTATGGCCCAGGCCCTCATCAATCTCCTGCCCTAACTTGTCTGCCTCCAGGTCATTGGCATGCCCAGAGCCACAGATCTCCTGTATTTTATCTCCGGCCAGTGGCTGGGATTCAAAACTCCAAGTTTTAAAGGGCCTGGTAAGGTGTGCATACCCACTGCTGTCCCCAGGCAGGGAGGATCAGGGTGTGCCCAGCACCGATCAGTCCATGAAAAGCCTTTGCACAGTGCATGTGCAGAAGCTAGAGTTTATTGTAACACTGAGCGAAAAGGTGGAGCCAGGCTATCAGTCATCTGCACTTAACTCAGTCCCCTACTCCCTTTGCCCTAGAAAAGCCATCACAGAGACTTGTTTCTGTGATGATTGTGGCTGACAGCAAAAAGCAGCAGCAATGTTATCCAAGATGTTATCCCTGGCTGTCCCTTTGTCTCTGGCGAGGACAAATAATGCTCCTCAAATGCCCTCTGGAAAGAAGAGCAATCTTTCCCTGAGTGACCCAGGAATTCACTTGCCACAGCTAATTATGGGGTCACAAACCGCTGCAACCTTTCTGACTTCCTCCCTCTTCCTGACTTTGCCCTGCAAACCGGGCTTGCTCCTCTTCCCCACCCCATGGCTTCCCAATCCCCCAATTCAGGGCTGTGAACCATGCTTCCGCCAAATTCACTCATTCAAAATGTGGAGATTGTTTCCATACTCCTCCGACCCTGTTCCTAGGTTTTCAAAATAGTTCAAAGTTAGTCTAATTATATTCAAAACAAAGCAAGTTCAGGGTCCCCCTAGTACTCTGCTCTCTTGGGAACAGTCTCCACTAAGTTCAAATTTTAAGCCAACCAAGACAAATTTTTAACTGTTCTCTAAACTTTTTGTTTAGTCCGTAGCTGCAGATTCCCTGGCTGAGAGACTTGGAACTCTAACCCTGTTAGCTGCTGCTCATGAGAGAAGACAGATCAAAGTTGTTCTTTTCCCACGTGAGTTTTTAATTTTGAGCCCTTCGCACGGAGCACAGAATCGCCTCTGGCTTCTAGAGCTGTGCGGAGCACGTCACTGCTGCTCTTCTGGGGGGGGACTCAGGGGGGCTTTGCCTTTTGTTACTCATCACCACTGTTCACAATGATCGTTCCCTTAGGGCCCTTAATAGAAGGGACAAGACAAAGAAAAGGCAGCATTCAGGGTGAAACCCACTACCTGCCTGCCTAGCTTTTCTGTACACAGGTGAGGTATTCCTTCACATCATCCGGGGACCCCAGAATGAGGGGGACTCGTTGGTGAATGGACTCCGGCTTCACATCCAGCACAGGCTGGGTGCCTGTGGTCGCCAGGCCTCCAGCCTGCTCTATGATATAGGCCACAGGATTGCACTCGTACAAGAGCCGGAGCTGTGGGAGAAAGAGAGTCAGGTGGACAAGCTTGGCAAGGGGCCAAAAATCCCGAAGCCACACACCTAAACCTTGCTGGGGAATTCCAGGAGGTGAACGTCTGTGTCTTCTTAGCATGAATACACTGGGTTCATCACCTTGTCTTTGGGGCACTGCTGGTCAGTCTCTACCTGTCTTGTGACCTTTGTGTTTATGAGAGGCCTGCCTCCTCCCTTGGGAGTATGAGATCGAGACACTTGTTTGCTGTTGGTTCAGCAGTGAGGCAAACTGACACTGAGGCCTGGTCAGGAGCCTCTGTATGTGAGGCCTTATGGCTAGCGAGGAGTCCAGCTTAGATGAGACGGAAGGTCACCTGGAGAGTACTAGGTGGCCTCTCAGGATAACCTCAGTGTTCGAGATCATGTGGCAGAACCCCACATCTCAAGTGTCAACGTGACCAGGTAGTTTGCTGGGGTTTAGACGGCCTTTTCTCTTGGCCCCCAAGACTGAATTAATGTCCACTGTTTGCACTGCTGTAGCATCCTGCACAGCCCTCTTCAGTTTGTCACACTGAGGTTTGCTTCATATCCTTACACACTCACCCTTGAAGGCAGGGACAGAGTCTGTCTGGGTTGGCCACTGTGGCATCTCCCTTCCCAGTAATGTCTGACACAAGGAAAGTGTCCCAACAAGGCTACTGTGTCCCTTGCCCCAGGGCTCCCAGTGGAAGGCAGAAATGGGCAGTCTGGGGAGGGTAAGGTCAGCCTGTGCCCTGCTTTTCAGGTTGTGCCTGTGGACCCAGGGCTGAGCCTCTCCTGAGGAAGGCCTTCTTTTTCTACCAGGCACTATGGGAACTAGCAGGCGTCTGCCCTGCATCCGGGGAGTGGCTGGGGAATTAAATTGAAATGGGCTGAACCCAATGCCTTTTTAAGGCCTATTTCAGTGATTATGCTGTGATTCCCTCCTGACCACCCCAACCCCCACCAGACACACATGCACATCACATTAGACTCAGGGTGACAGTCAGCTGCATGTTCTAACTCAGTATCATACTATCTTCCCCTTCCTTCCCAATAGGAGTAAAATCTGTATTTAAGAGAAAACAAGTTCCTCTCTAATCAGCTTACAAAGTGGTTGAGCCAGCTTTCTGTAGCCTTTTCTTTCCCATTCTTTTCTTCAAATCCATTCTGAAGATCATTTGAAACTCTTCGAGAAGCAGTCATATCTTGTGCTAATTTTTGAATCATTGTTATTTCATGGTGAGAAACAAAATATCTCTGGTCTAGGTTAGAGAGCCAGGCATTCAGGAGAGAGTAAGTTAAGACTCCAGGGGGCATACTGCCATTTTGGTAAAACAGTATACACTGCCCTCACCCTAGACCTCTAGCTCTTGGAGCAGTGGGTACCCTGGCAGGGTGCAAAGAAGCCCCAGTGGGTATGGACACACTTGGACCTGCTAGTTTTGTCCCTGATCATCCACAGGAGGGACACTGGAGGCCAATCAGTCCTGGACAGCTACCTGTCAGCTTCTAGAACTCAGCTCTTTCTTCCCCTTTTCCTTGCTCTGGGTGCTTGAAGATGAGGGGTTTGGGATGTCAGACAAAGTCTCAGACTGTAATTAAGTAGCCTTTGTTTGTACTATGTTGATTCAGATACTTAAAAGAAAAAGAAAAAAGCACAACATCCTCACATAAAGTTTGCCTTTGAGCCAAGGCTGCCTTTCACCTAAAGTTGCCCTTGTAGTAAATTCATCTCAAAACACAATGTACAGGTCTTCATGTTGCTTTGACCTGCAGTCCATGTGATCTACTTTTTTTCTGCAGTTAAAATCTAAACAGATATACAGAGACAAGCACACATAGGTGAAAAGGCATACACACCTACCGCACCCCCAAAACACACACCGATGCGCTCACAGAGACCACAAAAGCTAAAACACAGAGTTCAGGAGCCAATGATACTTTCAATAGGGCTGGTGGTGATGGTGTTATGAATATATAGATCTATACATGGAATTACATGTACTTATGGAAATGTCCCTATAGTTACATGGGCATATTTTCTGGCTCATTGTAAATCATTTTAACAATTATTAAGAAATAACCTAACATTTTCTGTGTTGGAACTGAGTAGGCAGCAAGAGTGGTTCTATGTAGGCATTCTCTCATTTTCTAGATCTCATTTACTACCCCGTGCCAGCACCCATCATGAAGACTTGGCTGTGATTCTTACTTCCAAAAGTTATAATATACCTAAGCTCAACACTCACATGAAGAGAAATTCCTGACACAAAAATCTTCCCTCTGGTCTCATGTGCTCTTAGATTTCTTATCATGGCTTTGAATCTGGCATTCCAATAACTCAAACTGCACACGCTGGGAGACAAATATACATGTGGCCAGTTGTTGGTGTGTCTGAGAATACAGTAGATTTTTGTTTTGATTTGTCTACTTACCTACGACTTCTGTGATTGGCTAAAAATCAGACAGGTTTCCATGGGAGGGTCTATTCAAGATAGATGCATTTGGATCATAAGATTCCCATCTGATCATATAAGTATTTTGGGGTTTGTGTCATAAAGTTGCAGTACGATCACCCAGAAGCTACCTTTCCAGAAGTACGAAATAAGTTCTGACCAGAAGCTCTTATTCTGGAGTTTGGGAACTCTCTAGAGGATTCATGGGTAGACTTCAGGTCATCTGTGAACCCCCTAAAAACGTATGTAATATATATGTTTATGTGCATTTTTTTTTCCTGGGAAGTAGATCCATACCTTTCATTAGATTCTCAAAGGGTCTATCATCCAGAATCAGGTGATGCTGAAGCTACAAGTCAGGCACAGGATATAGAAAACAGTAGATGAACACAGCTGACTTATGGTGAATGATGGGCATGAGGCCTGGGAATTCCAAGGCCAGTGTAAATTGCCAATAACTACTTCAGCTTCTACCACAGCCTCAAAATTCATTAATGGGAAATACACCTCTTTTCTCTTCCACCTGCCCACTCACAAACAGATGTGAAAAGGACAGAGCAGTAGCCAAAAAGCAGGCATGAAGGGAAAGGGAACTCCAACCAGCTTACTGAGTGACATAGCCAGGGGACAAATGAGAATTACCTTGCCCTTAGGACTTTTCTGATTCGCCGGGTACAGGAAGATCCCTCCATAGACCAGGGTGCGGTGCACATCGGCTACCATAGAGCCCACATACCTGGCCCCATAGGGAGCACTGCCATCCTAGAAGGCAGAGAGAGAAGAGACAAGATGTTCACCTGGATTACATACTCCCTTACCCAAAATATCCTGCCTTAGGAGGTTTGCAAAGCAAAGAAAAGTAACTATTAAAGGCTTTTAAGGAAAGAAGGAGACATCAGCAGCATGTAGGTTTGGATTAAACAAGCAAGAGATATTCACACACACACACCCCAAAAAAAGGATTGAATTGCAATAAAAGCAGGCAGTGTAGGTGATTCCAAACCCTGAATATTAGGTGGAATGCCAAAGTAGTACTGTTCACAAATCATGTGTAAACTCAGCTCAATAAATAATTTTTTTTAGCATTTTATTTATGCCTGGCACCAGGTTGGGCCCTGAGGATGCCAAAAACAGGAAGACAGTCTCTGCCCCCAAGGAACTCACCAACTGAAGGGGGAGACTAGCATACATAAATGAATAAAAATAAATGAATTTACTCCCCACCACTCAGGGGGTGGGAGGGATGGGGTGGCTGGGTGATAGACATCGGGGAGGGTATGTGCTATGGTGAGCGCTGTGAATTGTGCAAGACTGTTGAATCACAGATCTGTACTTCTGAAACAAATAATGCAACATATGTTAAGAAAAAAGAAAAAGAAGAAGATAGCAGGAGGGGAAGAATGAAGGGGAGTAAGTCGGAGGGGGAGAGGAACCATGAGAGACGATGGACTCTGAGAAACAAACTGAGGGTTCTAGAGGGGAGGGGGTGGGGGGATGGGTTAGCCTGGTGATGGGTATTAAAGAGGGCACATTCTGCATGGAGCACTGGGTGTTATGCACAAACAGTGAATCATGGAACACTACATCAGAAACTAATGATGCAATGTATGTTGATTAACATAACATAATAAAAAAATGAATTTACAATTTTATGATAAAAAGATGAATAACCCAATTTTAAAAATAGACAAAATCCTACCTTACACCACATGACAAATTAATTCAAAGTGGATGGAAGACCTACATATTAAGAGCTAAGACTATAAAAGTCTTAGAAAATATCAACAGACTTTTTGGGGAAGAAACTTGAAAGAATTTTCTAGCAAAGAAAATTTTCTAGCAAAGAAAACAGGAATATTTGTGAAAATGAAGAACAAGGAAAAGAGTATCTCTACCAAATCTAAGAGCATACACTGAACTAACAATATTTGCATATGCAAAGAAGAAATGCAAACACTGACCAGTAGATCAGAATAGAGACCAGTCCTGAGCCTAAAGATAGATAAGAATTTTGTTTATGCTGAACAGGACCTTGCAATCAGTGTGGGAGAGGACGATTAGCGAACAGCGCTGGGCTAGCTGCTTGGAGAAGAGGATCCCAACCTCATTCTTTACAGCCAAATTATTTCAAGATGGAGAGAGTTAAAAGGAGAAAATCAAAAATAATTTAGAATAAGGCTGTCCAGTGAAGTTCTCTGTGGTGAGGAAAACAGTTTTTAGCACCATTGTCCCATATAGCAGCCCCTGACCACGTGTGACTGTTGAGCTCTGGTAACGAGACAGGTGTAGATGAAAACAGAATTTTACATGTTATTTACTGGCAAGTATTTTAAATTTAAATAGCCACATATGGCTAATAACTATTGTATTGGACAGCACAGAAGAAGAAAATATGAGTACATTAATTTATAATTTGGTACACAACACCCATTAGATAGAAAGAAAGATAAATTTGATAACATAAAATTGTAAACACCTCTACGGAATCAAAAGCTGAAAGGCTACACATATTTCTAACATGAATTACAGATAAAAGGCTAGTTTCCTTCATTTACTAAGTGCTTATACAAGGCAACAAGAAAAAGATAAATAATACTAATTAAATATTTGCTAAGAACAGAAATAGGCAATTTACTAAGACAAAAGCAGGTGCTCAATAAATACAAGGAAACAACAAAAACCATAATTAAACATGTGCAAATCAAGCCATAAGATTCACCTTTTTACCATCAGATGGACAAAAATTTAAAAAGATTCACCATATCTGCACTGGCAGGGACACAAGGAAATGGGTACTCTTCCATATGATGCCAGAGAGTATAAACTGATGCAACTTTTCTGGAAGAATATTTGGCAACATGAGCACGTGAAATGCTCATACCCTCTGACCCAGCAACTTCAGCAAGATGTGTGCCCTACAGATATACTTGCAAAGGTAATGAGCATACACTTTTGGGATCTCCATTGCAGCTCTGTGTCTCCTGATGGAAAATCAGAGACAAGCAAAGCTGCTTTCCATAAGCAATTAGCTCGATGTGTCCCGTCAACACAAGGCTGGGCAGCCCTTTCAGTCAATGCCACAAATCTGTATGTACTTGTATAGAACAATCTCCAAGTCATGAAAGAGAAAATCAGATGAAGCTAATATGCTCTACCTGATGTTCTTAAAGGGTGGTGGGGTAGATATGGAAATGAATGTGTATTATCCCTCCCACCGTCCCAACTCAAAGAATAAAATCAACACTTGGCAGTGGTCATCCCTGGAAAGAGCAACCTGGCTGGGGGTAAAGAAGAGAGGAGACTTTCACCTTTAATTTTGTATATTTCTGTATGTTTTACATTTCCTAATCTTAGATTACTTTTTAAAATTGAAGTAAAATTCACATCAGATAAAATTAACCATTTTAAAGTATATAATTCAGTGGCATTTAATACATTTGTCATGTTGTACAACCATGACCTCTATCTAGTTACAGAACATTTCCATTACCTAAAAGAAAACACTAAAACCATTAAATAGGCTTTGTCCTTCCCTCCCTCAGTGCTTGGCAATCATTAATCTGCCTTCTGTCTCTATGCATTGACCTTGTCCTTGCATCTGGCTCCTTTCACTCAGCATAAATGTCTTTGAGATTCGTCATGCTGTGGTATTTCATCAGTACTTCATTCCTTTTCACAGCTGAATAATATTCCATTGTATGGATGTACCACCTTTTTTCATCCGCTCATCAGCTGATGGACATTTGAGTTGTTCCTGCCTTTGGTTATTGTAAATAATGCTGCTATGAACATTTGTGTGCAAGTTTTTTCTGAATATATTGTTTTCAATTATTTCAGGTGTATACAGAGGACTGGAATTGCTGGGTCATACGGCAATTCTATGCTTAATTTTTTGAGATATATTTCTTTTAAAATTTTGTTAACAAGAATAGAAATTGCAGTTTCAATCAGTTGGAAGCATTATGGACTATTTAGTGTTTTCTCCCTTGGGCCTTTCTGTATTAAAAAATAGTAATTGAAAGTATTTAAAAGAGAAAGCAGCAGCTTCATGCCAACACCCGCCAGGCCATCCTCTCCTGCGTTCATCTCTGCCCTTCTCTCTTCTCAGAGAATTGCTGAGGGAAGGGGGCACAGATTATTTTCCCTACTTTCCTTTTAATCTTTCTAAGGGATCACTGCAAACCTCCACCATAGCCAGGAGGATGCCCACCCCTCTGTTGAGGGTATCCCCATTTGTCCAAAGTCAAAATTCCTTTTTGTATCTATAGGTGGAAATCCTAGAAAGTAGCATTGGGTTTCATTGTATCTCTGTTGTCTTATCGGTTAGAATTGGACACTCCCAAGACCATCCAGCACTTCCGTCAAAATGATCATTGTTTTCATATCAAGAAGTAAGTCCCTCCCTGGACTCTCAAGCCTTGCCTGAGGAAATTATCAAGCATTCACACTGGTTTCCTACTGTTACACGTAGACTAAACTTTCTGGGCCAGAACCAACTAATATTTGGTCTTCAATTTATGGAATTGTAAGGGATTTTATGTAAAAAGCAAGCAAGAAAAACCAAAACTTCCTAGAGACAAAACAACTCCTTTTATGCTAGGGACAGATGCATATTAAATCTAGAATTTTACATTAAAAAACAACTGGAGGATTCTGGAGACTTGCCTTGTGTTGGGGAATATATGCCTTTGCTGTTGAGAAGGGTCTCATCTTTGAATCAGTATTGAAATACTGATTAATATGTTGGGCTCAATAGTCTACCATTTCCATGATAAGTGAACACTGACTTTCTATTTTCTAAGAGATACTACTCCCCTGAACAGCTATTGCAGAGTGAGGAGGAGATCAGAATAACCTGCTGTTTAGATCCTACTGCATGAGTCCCACCTGTTCAGCATACTGGGTGCAATAATGGACAGCCAACTACGGGCTATTTGAGTGACGTTAACCTGTTCTGTATGTAATGCATACATTCCCGTTTATTTTATTTTTGTCTCACTGTCTCCATTCTGAATCTGTAGATTAATTTTATAATGTAGTAAAATGTCTAAGAAGCTGCCCAGTGCAGTGCTTTCTCAAGTGTGGATGGAAATCCATCAATGGGTTATAAAATCCATTTAATGGGTCATTACTAAACATGTTTTTTTCAAATGAAATGTAATCTAAACAAATGGAATGGAACAGAACAGAAGAGATCAGATCAGAACAGAATAGAATTGAATAGAAAAGAATGAGAAAATATCTTAGAGCACAGTAGACAGTAAGGCAGTTTACTTTTGTTTCAGTGGGGCATGTGTGAGTGTGTGTGTGCATGCTTGCACACATGTGCTCTGAATTAAACATAAAATGCATTTGTTATTAATGGTCACAGTCAAAAATTCTTCAGAACCACTGGCCTAGTGGACCCTTCTTATTCCTGGGACATCTCTTGTGAAACTGTGTAGATCCTCTTAAGGAATTTACTCCATTTTGTAAAATTGCAAAATGTAGCTTTACCTTAGAACCTAGCATTTTTCTTCTAGCTGTAGTCAAACTATCTAAGCTGGCCTGTGAGAAAGGATACAAAAGAAACATCTTTTTTAAAGAGCAGAGAGCATTATTTGGGAGGAAAAATAGTTAAAATGGAATTGAGAAAGATCTTAAATATCTTCTAAGAGTTCCAGTTTTACTGCGAGGGCAAGGGATTTATGTTTCTTCCCTGACTAGCATAATCATGCTCTTTGCATGGTTTTCCATTTGGGAGCCCAGCCTGTGGTAAGATTTACAAGGGGTCCTCATGCGGTCAGCCTGTTCACCAGCTGTCGGTCACTCATGAGCTGATGCCTTTTTTCTCATTTGAAATCTCCCCTTCAGAGAGATTTATGGTATTTTTTTGTGCAGGCCTTTTATTTTTTAGTGGTAACATAAATATCTTCTTTTATGGGCTCAAGGAGAGGTACTTTTTAGCTTAGAATGGGAGCCACTATGAAACATCTCCAAGATCAGAAGCATGTAAATAATATTGACTTTATCAACCTACAATTCACATCCTGTTACTTTTGCCCTCAAGACATTGGATGGGTTTGTGCGTGATGGCAAAATACAAGCCTATGAAGGAGAGTTACAGGAAACTGCATTTTTGAGAACTTCACTTAAAAAACAAATGAAAGAAAGTAGAAAGTTCTCGATAGCTTCAGCTTGGGGCCACAAAGGCAGGTCCTGGGATCCTGTTGACTGACTGCCTCTTGGTCCCATGGAATCATGAGCTCTTTTTCCTTGGAGTTTATGAGGACTTCCAGGGACAGCCAGGCAGATACACCATATCACTGCCTTCCCACCACAGGATAAAGGGCCTCTCTTGTGACATCCCCCAGAATTTGGTGAGAGTTGGTCCCACTTGTAAACAAGCTTGCATTCCTCTTCCAATTTAGAACAGACTTCACACTCTTGATCTGGAAATTCTTTGACTCTGCTTCCACACCTGTCTTAAAAGCTCTCTTAGTATGGTGAACATACTGAATGGATTCTTTGGGCTGCATTAACAGACACATGAAGTCCAGCAACTTGGTAATCCCGTTGAGAGACAAAGACCATCCTAAAGCTTGGGGTAAACACAGAACATACGAATGGGACTTTCAAATATAATTACTACACCTAAAAGCAAATATAAGTGAGTGACCAGAATCTATATAGGTGCTCAGAATCTATATATATATTGCTCAGCAAGCAAATGACCTGGCAGGTTCTGGCCTGAACCCTGAATTTTGAAAATGTGGTCTGTCTTCTTCATAAACAATGTCTCCTGGAAAAACTAAAGTAGGGAGTATTATCTTGAGTAGGTAACTTTTAGCTGTAAAAGACGTTGCTCGTTTATGAAGAAAGGCAGAGTCTGCCATTCTCATACTGACCAGAGTCATAAACAGTGGCATCACCTCTTTCAGCCAGGCTCCCAAAGCCGCCACCCAAACAGGACCCACTGAGGCAGCATTCTCCCTGCTACTGCCTTAGGCTTTCTTCACTCACCTCAGGAAATTTCTTTCTCTGCACATATTTTGAGGTGGCAGCATCAAAATACTTGGCATAGCCCTCATTGAGACTGTAGATCTTTCCTTTCTGTTTTATCTTGACATCTTTTTCCACGAGGACAAATTCACCGAGAGCCTAGAAAGATGAGAAGAAACACCTGGAAGAAGAGAGATACCAGGAAACAGAAGCCAACCGCACAGTCCCCAACAATCAGAGAGCATCGGAAGGTGTGGCCCTGTTCGAGGAGCCCGGCTGTGCCATGTCCTTCGTCAGCTCCAGCGGTGCTCTAGCAAGAGATGAAATAATTCAAACGACAGAGGGAAGGTTTCCTTGCTAATTTTCACTGCCTGACAGGTTACTCATTTATAGGGAAGCTCAAAGTATTAGTGCTCCAAGTTCTCATTCCTGGTTAATTCCTAATGTTTCCCGGAAGATTTGGGCCATCGACAATGAGAGGAAGAAGTTTCATGGACAGGATTCATCATAAAGGTGGGGGATGCAGTTGCCCTACAAATGTGTGGTCTGTTTATTCTAATGACTCAGTCCTAGAAACCATGAACGATTCCCAGTATCCCAGTGACTCTTAGACAGGGTAATGAGGAAATCCCTTCAATCAGAAACTGTATTCACTTGGCATAAGAAATAAAAAGGAGAAAAATGAAAGAAATCATCAGAATTACTAGTAAAATTGTGCCCACTGCCCCCACCGTGGTTACTCTGCAGGACATCCCTCAGGTACCCATTTATCTGAGTGCTTATGGATGTGATTAGGGGGCTGCAGGTATCACCTTGAAAGGCTGGATGTCTCTTTAAGTCACAAGGAGGAAAACCGGGCTTGGAAATGTAATCAGTTTCAATGAACTTTGAAGACTAAGAAAGTGAAATCCCCCAGGATGATAGCTCACAGCTGGCAGCTAGACTAGAAGGTTCCTAATAAACATAGGAATTTATATTCCCAGAATATAAAGAGGCAAGACCATGCTGACCATGTCTGAAATAAGACAGTGGTGAGAATACTCAGCAACCACAGAAGTAACTAAGCATCCTTCCCCTCTGCTGTGAGTGATGACTTCTTCTTTACCAATGAATCTCTACCTTCACTTTAATCTTCCCACCTCCCAGATAAAAATTATTGATACACAATCATTAATTGAATCCACTCCCAAGCCAGAATTGACCCTCTCTTTCTTGAATCCTCCTGAGATCATCAAGCAAAAGCCCACTTGCTATAGTGTAAGTCCATCCCAACTCCCTCCTAGCATGACACTCTACTGTTCTTCTAGAGCACCTCCATCCTTGTTCAGTAAACTCAACTTCTTTTTATTATAGGAAAGTTCCTGATAGTCTCTGGCTCATGAGCTTTAATAACTTGCTGTGGACATTTGTTGCTTTGGAGAAGCCCAGTGTGGAGTAACACTTTCTAAAAGCAGCCTCACTCCCTTTGAAGAATTAACTCTTCTCATTGGATGCCAGTCTAGGAAGACTGAGCCTCCTCCAGCCCAAGGTCAGGCATTTGACTTAGCTTGGCAAATTAGATATTCCTCCCTGGCACTTGAAACCTGAGTGAGAGACACAGAATCAGGGGTAGTGTCCAGACCAGACTGGCCATGCTGCAAGCCTGTTCCTGGGACTCCTGCATCCCAGTCCTCAAGACCTGCCCATCTCCACCCTGGGTCCTGAGCTTTACCACGAATATGGTAACATCCTTTACTTAATTGGGAAGAACATCTACTTTACCGGCAGTCCCACAAACCCATGCTGTCCAATAGGGTAACCACTAGTCACGTGTGGCAATTTAAGTTAATTAAAAAGACATAAAGTTTCAAAACTGAGTTTCTTAGTCACACTAACCACATTGCAAGTGTTCAATAGCCACATGAGGACAGCACAGATTACAGAACATATGCATGGTCACAGAAAGCTCTATTGGATGGTGCTGCTCTAAAAAATCCATGTTTCTGTCTAGACATTGGCAACATTGGGGTTTTTTAAATTATTGTATTTCTATAAGCCAAAGAGATTGGATGCACTTTTGTATTAGAAACTTCTTAAGGGCAGAGCCTGGTTGATACGACAGACCCCATAGAACACTTCAAACACCCTCCATTGGACACAGGTCATTAATGTTTTTTGATGTTGGTGTTGATTCCCCAACTAGCCTCTCTTGTCCCAAAAGCAAGAATTAAGAATGACCAGAAAATTACCCCAGCCGACTGGGATTAACGCACAGAGACGCACGGAGTCCTACATACTGCTACTGCTACATTAGGTACCTACCGGGTCGAGCATGAAAAGGTCCACTCCTTGCCCAGTGGAAAGAGCCACCAGGGTTGCACTACCATAGAGGGCATAGCCTGCAGCTACGATATTTCGGCCTGGCTGCAGAGCATCCTTTTCAGAAGGCTCGTCCTCTGAGGTCTGAGGAAGAGAAAAGAAAAACAGGGGGTGTTACTGTCTCTGGACCGAACCCTTTGCCAGAGGCCTGGGCTTCAGATCTCCTTGAACCGCTGGAGGAAGTGCCGTCCTCAGAATTTTGAGCTGAAGCGCATGCAGCTGGAGGGAACGCATTGCCATGGTAACAAATGGTTCTAGCTGAGCCATTGCAGAGGCCATCTTTGGACTTCTCCCTGGTTTCCGAACACATTTGTCTGCATCCTACCAAAAACCACCCCAAGATGCTAAAACCACAGCCCCTCTTAAAAATTACAAGCCATGCTCCTTAACTGTTACAACAACCAAGGTCATTAAGCTTGATCTTGTGCCATATCTCGTTGTACGTACTCAATGGCCCTCTGAGGGAAATATGTTTATCATCTCCATTGTGTGGATGCAACACTCAGAGCCTGAACGTTTGGATAACTCACCTGACACCAAGAAGCCTCAGAGCTGGAGTCAAGCCCAGGCAGCCTGGCCCGGGGCTCTTCCCCGTTGCACGCGATGCACCTGGAAGGTCTTGCCCTTGCCTGCCCCCCACCTCCACCCCCACACCTCCACCCTGAGCCCACGTCTAGAGTTCTGAACGTTTTCTTGAGGAAGCTTTTCCCTTTGCCATGGCAGAAATGCCGGTGTGAGTGGGACTTCAGAGACAGGACAGGTGGGGATGCTGAGGAATGTTCTCAATGGAGAGGCAGAGCTGCAGCTGAGATCCCACTTTGAACCCACTTTCCCCAATACCTCTCGAAGGTTCCTTCCTTCCCCACCTCCTTGTGCTCTAAAAGGCAAGTGAATCAAATCTGATTAGTTTGGAAAAACGAGTAGCAAACTTCTGGGCTCGGCTGTGAGGAGCTGAGTTGGGGAGGGGGGAGGAGAAGAGGCACACTCCGTTCTTTCCCCACCCTCATCTGGGGTTCTGACTTCACAGCAAAGCCTTCAGGGATGGGGGAGAATTCTGGACAAGCACTGGGGCTGGCTCTGGACCCTAACATCACTATGGACGGCAGATGTGACAGGAGCTTGGAAGGAGAGGCGAGTGGGCAGACTTCAATCAACTCTTTTCAAATCAGAAGAGCCAGATGGATGCAGCTCCACAGACCATGGCAAATAGCTATGATGAATGTGACAGGCTGAGGCTCCAAACTCACTTTCCCATAGCTGTTATACCCAAGGAGTGTGGTGCTCGGTGTGCAAGGGTTAAATGCGAACTATTGGCCTCACTGCTTCTGAGCCATTCGATTTCCCACTCTCTGTTTTCTAGCACAGCTACCTTGGCTGTTTAATTAGATGCTTTGTTCTCTCTAGATGCCAGTGGATTTTGGCTAAAAGTCCGGTCCAGAAATATCGCATAGAGATTCCCTGCTGAGCAGAAAATTCCAGAGAATTGCAAAATGGTGGAGGTGAAGGAAATATCTTTAAAATTATGAAGACACACTGGTGATTATGTAAATAGGAATCAGAACAACAATATTGAGCCAGAATATTATACACACTTTAAAAATATGTCAATTATGCTAATTAATTCCCCTGTAGAATAACTTCTTCGGGGTAAAATAGTAATTTTTATTTATATAGGGCTTTATCTTTTTCAAAGTACTTTCATATCATCATGCTTTTGTGAAAGAATGGAGAGTCTCCCTAACCCTCCTTTAAAAGTGAAGGGATGGAGGTCAGGAGAGGTACCCACACATTTTGAAACGAATGAGTGATAAAGCTGGGATGGACCCACATCTCCCAGTGCTAAGCCAGCATCCTTCTCAACACTGTCATGGAATATGGGGCCCGTCGGACCTTTGTGTGTAATATCCTAACAACTTCGCTGTAAAACCAATCTTCTTTAAAAGTGTCACGTTCCCTCTAATAATTTTTCCTTATTTTCACAATTTTGCATTTTTTTGCAACTAATTGCATTTTTATTTGACTTGGACATGTTCAATAAATTGTTCTTATTTCTAATTCCCAGCCACATAAGGATTTTGAGAACCAGGCCCTGTAGCCGACTCTCAAAGTGGACCACAGTATCAGCATCCCCCGGGAAGTTGTTAGAAGTACAAATACTTGTCTCCGCCACCGCTCGCCCAATCAGGCCTACAGAATCAGAAATTCTGGGCCTCAAGAAAGCTTCCAGGTCATTCTGAGGCATGCTAGTTTGGGAAACACAGCTCTAAAGCATGAGTTCTTAAGAATCTTCAGAAAAGTGGAAGGTTTTTTACTAAAATCTTTAGTCTTCACCATCGAAGCTTCTGAAACACCTTCATTTGGCCACCAGAAGGACCACATTTTCTGTGTTTTAAACCAGAGGTCTGTCCTGCTGATTTCTCCCTGACCAGAGGCTGTCCTTCCTCTGAGCTGTGGTCCTGCAGCCCCCACACAGCTAGCACCCTCTCTGGGACCCTCTGGGCTCTACGCTGGGACTTGAAAGTGAACCACTCCTTCCTTACTGGCTTCACTGGCTTCTAATAACAGGTGGAAGTCTCTGGCCTAAAGAAAGAAGAAAAAATACTTTCTAGATCATAAGACTTCCCTCTAGCCACTGCCTATCTCCATCTTCATCTAGGTCCCGGAGTCTAGAATGCCTGTCTATACTAGCTATCTTTCTTCTTCTGCCCCCACTGCAGGCTGCCAGGTATGACCCCCATCTACCATCTCAGGAGCACACTGTCCCATCCTCCTTACCCTACCTTTGGGCAATGTTGGGTCACTTGGCTGCTGTCTCCATCTTGATATGGGTCTCTCCTGAGCATCTGTCCACCTCCCTCTTTTCTGACCTCCGATATTGTGATTTATAAGAAATACCTATTTGCGCATTCAGCTGACCAAAATGCACTTCTCATATATACTTAGTTTGTGCCCACAGTTCCTGGCTCACAGCTTCCAAAACCCTCAGACTTCCCTTAGTGTTGAGAGTAATAAAGTGTCTTTGTCATGCTGATGGTGACTTTTGGACAGCAGAAAAGGAGGGTGGCTTGTTGCCAGGAGAACCAACCCCTGTGATTAGAAGGTTAGAACTTTCAGCCCCACCCCCTGACCTCCTGGGGGCATAGAAGGGATGGAGATGGACTCTCTCGCCAATGGCCAATGATTTCATCAAGTAAGCCTATGTAATGAAGCCTCCTTTAAACCTGAAAAGGACAGAGCTTGAAGAGGTTCTGGACTGGTAAACACCCAGAAGTTCAGGGAACGTGGTATGCCTAGAGAGGGCAGGGACGCTCTGCACCCTTTCCCCATACCCTGCCCTAGGCATCTTTTCCATCTGGCTCTTCCTGAGTTATATCCTTTAATAATAAACTGGTGATCTAGCAACATGTTTCTCTGAGTTCTGTGAGCTGCTCTAGCAAATTAATCAAATTTGAGGAGGGGATCTTGGGAACCTCTGATTTCTAGTCAGTCAGTCAGAAGTACAGATAACAACCTGGGCTTGGGACTGGCATCTGAATTGAGTTGCCAAGGAGGCCGGGGCGGGGGGGGGTCATTGGAACTTCCAATCTATAGCAGGTTGGTCAGAAATACAGATAACAGCCTGGGGTTGCCTTGTAGGACTGAGCCCTTCACCCCTGGATTCTGATGCTATCTCTGGGTAGTTAGTGTCAGAAATGAGGTGCCCCAAAGCATTTGCTTTAATTCAACCTGATGAATATAAGAGAGCACTATCTTTTCAACTTGGCCAATTTGATGGCTAAAAAAAAATTACATTTCTTTTGTTTTAATTTCCATTTTTTTATAGTTAACAATGTAAACTTCATTGCCTTCTTGGCCAATTTTATTTCTTATTTTGTAAGTTGACCGTTTCATGTCTTTGTGTATTTCTCTCTCAGGGTATTTATCTTCTTGTTGTTTATTTTAATACCTTTTTACATATGAGAGCTAGTAATACCTTATATGTATTACATCTATTTTCCTTGAGTGCCATCTGCCTTTTAATTTTATTTACAGTGTCCTTTTCTTTTGCAGTGCAATTTTTTGGTAATTAAAATTATTCGGGCACCTGGGTGGCTCAGTCGGTTAAGCGTCTGCCTTTGGCTCAGGTCACGATCCCAGAGTCCTGGGATTGAGTCCCACATAGGGCTCCCTGCTCAGCAGGGAGCTTGCTTCTCCATCTCCATCTGTCCCTCCATCCTGCTTATGCAATCTCTCTCTCTCTCTCATTCAAATAAAATCTTTAAAAATAAATAAATAAATAAAATTATTCATTACAGCCCATATTATTTTCTTCTCTGTCTTTATGGTTAGATAGAATTTCTCCTATAACAAGACAAGGCCAGACAAATAGTCTTCTATGTTTTATTTCTTCTGTGTTTTATTTCTCCATGAAATTCATTAACCCATCTATAATTTATTTCAGTGCATGGAAAAAAGAAAGGCTCATTTTTTTTTCTGGTTTTGAGATTTTAAAGATCTACTTCACATTAGTCATCTCTCTGCTATGACAATCTTCTCAGAAAATCTCAGAGTAGTTTGCAAATGATTTAGTGTTATCTTTCTCCGGTCTTTTTATTTCTTCCTACCCCAATGAAACATCTAAATCTGTCATAGGTAAAGGAAGGGATGCATCCTATAGCCACTTACCAATAAAGTTAATGGCAATTGCAAAGGCTCACTCTGTTTGGCGGTAGAGGGTATGGAAAAGTAGACCATTTTTCTTTGTATTGAGGTATAACTCACACATAGCAAAGCACACAAATCCGAATTGTACAGTTCAATGAGTTTTTACATACGTGTAATATATGCTTATGTAACTACCAAGATCAATTTACAGAACATTTCTTTAAAAAAAAAGATTTTATTTATCCATTTGACAGAGAGCAAGAGAGAAAGCGAGAGAGCACACAAGCAGGGGGAGCGGCAGGCAGAGGGAGAGGGAGAAGCAGGCTCCCCACCGAGCAGGGAGCCTGACGCGGGCCCAATTCCAGGGTCCTGGAATCATGACACTCAACCGACTGAGCCACCCAGGCGCCCCATTACAGAACATCTCTAACAACCTAGCAGACTCTTGTGCCCCTCCTTAGTCACTATCACCTCCTCCAAAGGTAACCTCTACCCTGCCTTTTATCATGTGGACATCAAAGGGATAATTACCTTTGTCTGTTTTGGAACTTTATATAAATGAAATCACAAAGCATGTGTTCTTTTGTATCTAACTTGTTTCCCAACATTATGTCTTTGCAATTTTATCTGTTATTGCACATAGAAGTTTTCTGTTCTTTTTCATTGCTATGTAGTTTTCTGTTGCATAAATACACCACAATTTATTTATCTATTCTAATGTTGATACACACTTGGGCTTTGTTTTCCAATCAGGAGCTATTATGAATCATTTGTCACATGTCTTTGGACAGACACGAGCACTCACTTATCTTGGGTGCGTACCAGGAGTGGATTTGTTGGACCATAATGTATGACTCTATGTTTATCATCAGCAGGTGCGATCCCAACTTTCCAAAGTGTTTGTGTTATTTTTTACTCCCACTAACAATGTACAATTCCCAGTTTCTTCATCAACACTTGGTATGCACTTTTCATTTTAGCCATTCTCTTGGGGTGAATGATGTCTCGTTGTTTTAATGTTCATTTCTCTGATGACCAATGATGTTGAGCATCTCTCTTGTGCTTATTATTAACCAGTTGTGGAAAAAAAAATCTCTTTAGTGAAGTGCCTGTTCGAGTCTTTGCCCATCCCTTTGATTAGATTGATGGTATTTTTTTTATTCATTTGTAGAAGTTCTTATTCTGCATAGGAGTCCCTCGTTGAAAATATGTATTGAAAATCTTTTCTTCCAGTATGTAGTTACCTTTTCACTCTCTTAATTTGTCTTCTGATAAGCAAAAGTTCTTAATTTTAATGAACGACAGTTCATTAGCCCTTTCTTTTATGGTTATTGCTTTCAATCTCTTGTTTAAGAAATATTTACCTTCCCCAAAGGCATGATGATATTCTCCTGTGGTTTTTTTTCTAGGAACATATTGGTAGTTGCCAGGGGCAGGGGTGGAAGGGTGAGGGGCAAATGGGTGAAGGTGGCCAAAAGGTACAAACTTCCAGTTATTAGATGACTAAGTTGTAAGGATGTAATGTACAGCATGGTGACTATAAGTTAAGAGTACGGATCATACATTTGAAAGTGGCTATGAGAATAGATTGTAAAAGGTCTCATGACCAGAAAAAAATATATATTTGTTTAACTATGTGAGGTGATAGATGTTAACTTACTATGGTGATCGTCTCACAGTGTATATATATACATACACATATACATATGTACATACATATCTTAAATCATTATGTTGTTCACCTATTCTCATCCAATGCCATATGTCAACTATATCTCAATAAAACTAGAGGCAGGTGAGAAGCTATTAAGAGCTGTAATTGGTGGAGCTGGAGAGTCCGTTTGAGCCTCCGACCTGCCATGTCCTAACTGGTGATTTTAGTCGAGTCACTTCTCTGTGCTTCAATGTGTTCACCAGTAAGAAAGCGACAGCAGAATGTGCACCTGGCTCCCGGACTGAGGCGAGGACTGACCCAGGAGCACGGTGCTTGCAGGTGCGCAGAACGTGCCCGACTCACGCTCAGCAGTCCGTAGTATTACCCATAATGTAAAAGCCAATGTTTAAAACCACCTCAAAGGTACAACGGGTGTCTTTTTCCAGAATCTCATAAAGATCACACCATCTGTCCCTTTATTTTTATCTCTATGCTATACCTCAAAGGGAGAAGCAAAGCTCCTTTATTCACCTAGCTCATTTTTGCTTGACCTCAAAACATCATCTTAATCTTTCACTCTCTCAAGTACCAGAGAAAGTGTCTGGTCATTCTCACCTGCTCCCTCTGCAAAAGTCTCCTTTTCTCTCTTTGCAAGGAAAAAAAGAGAAGCACCAACTGGTAAAGCAAAATTCTCAGAGGTTCCCTCCTGTCCAGGGTGGCTTGGCTTCCAGTTGGTTCTCCAAAACAGGAGTAACAGAGCCCGCTCCTGCTCCTTGATGTTCTCCTCAGAAAGAAGCTTAGACTAATTCACATATCCTGCTAAGGTTAGTTTTCTGCTAAGCTGTTGCCCCTGAAAATCAAATTCTGGCCTCTTTCTTTGGACAACCGTCAGCTAGGCAGAAATATCTTGCAATATCAACATCTATGGACAGCACATTAGGTGAATGGGACACAGCCAATCCTCCCCCCACGTTTATCATCTAAAAGCACTAAGGAAAACACTCAGAGAAAGTCAATTACATGCACATTACAGAATTAGTGCCAAATCATAGTGTAGAAAGTCAGTGATGCCTGCAACTTGTTTGATCACTAGTTTAGTGGACAGAATGTGTGCTGTGAAGCCAGAGGCATGGGTATGGGCCTCTGCAACCAGCCTAGAGGGCAGATTACCCAACTGAACAATCCTTAAACCCATCCAGCACCCTTGGTCTCCCTTCTGCCTGAAAGCCCCCAGGGCAGAGGCCCAGCCATCCTGACTGGAGTGAGGACTGATCCTCAAATGAGATCTAATGTGGATTATGTGGCTTGACATGAAGTCTCTGGTGATACTGGATGGTCACAAACCAACCCACAAAATCCTCTGTTGTTGGGTATGTGGGGTAGGTGAAATGCCCCAAAGAGACACTAATCCCCAGAATCTGTGACTGTGCTGCATTATGTGTCACAAGGGACTTTGCAGATGTAATTAGGGTTACCAGTTTAAAATAGAGAGATCATCATGGATTATCCAGATGGGCCCAATCTAATCAAATGAGCCCTTAAAATCAGAGAACTTTCTGAGGCTGAGGGCAGGAGAGATGAAGCAAAGTGGGGATATCAGAGAGATTAGAAGTCTGAGCAACACTTGGCCTGCCTTTGCTGTCTTTAAGGACATAAGAGGCACAAGCCACAGAATGTAGGAAGCTTCTAGAAGCTGAAAATGGCCCCAGCATCAGCCAGCCAAAAAAAAAAAAACAAGGGTCTCCAACCCACAAGAGAATGGAACTGAACTCTGCCAACCACCTAAATGAGCCTGGGAGCTAATTTCCCCACCCCCAGCCTCTCAGGAGGAGGCCAGCCTGGCTGACACCCAGATTTTGGCTTTGTGAGACCCAAGCAGAGAACCCAGCCATGCCTGTCAGACTTCCAACCTACACAATGGTAGAACATAAGTGGGCATTGCTTTAAGCCTCTAAACATGTGGTCAATTGTTACAGCAGCAATAGAAAATTCGTACAGTAAGATCTGAGAAACAGCGGAGTCCTCAAATGCCACCAGGAACCTAATACCACGTCTGATATTTGTGTCACATCCAGATTTCCAAAACCAGGCTCCATCAGTCCTCTGACATTACCTTCCCACCCAGGTGATGAAGGAGGCAGTTGGAAAAGTACCACATCAGTTCTTCCAGGGAGGATCCAGAGACCAAGCAAGTTATGGTTTGCCTACAGTGCTGTGTCTGGTTAGTAGGAGGACAGAGACTAGAACTCCAAGCCTGAACCTTCCAGAAAGCACCAGGTCCAGACTGTCTACTCACCTTTCTATAGATAGCAAAGATGGTTCCAATGGAGGCCAGGCAGTCGATGTTGGAAGATCCATCCAGCGGGTCAAAGCAGACTATATACTTCCCCTAAACGCACAGAGAGAAGAACCACCTGATTGGCCCCCTTTCAAACAACACACTCTGTGTAAATGGCTGTACATGGCAGGTAACACGACATCAAAAAGTGATTTAGAGCAAAGGGCTATCCTTATCAAAAAATGCAATTACCAAGGAGAGCAAAGTATATCAGCATCTCTGAATCCTGAGCTCAGAGCCAACCTGCCCATAGACTGATGAGTTGATGCCCACATGGGGCGATCCAGGTCCCATCCACCTCCGCACCTCCTCTGGCTCTGCCCTCCCCTCCTGTATGGGCCCACTGGGGCCTCAGAGCTGCCAAGGGTGTGAGAGGAAACCAGGTCCGAAATTGGCACCCGGCCCAGAAGGGGTGGAGAAGCTGAAGATGAACCCAGGCTAGCTCTATCCATATCCATGGTAAGGTCAGTTATAGATTTATTCATGATTCTTTCTGAACCTCTCTGCAGACAGGCTTTCCTCCAAGAGCATTTTTGCCAAAAAGACTTTGGAAAATCTCAGAACAATGTCCCAGAGCCTCTGGATCTATCTTATTAAGAGAGCTAGTATGCATAAGTAGTCTGGGGAATAAAAATACTGTCCTAGGTTTTGCTGCATCCAACCCACCTGTCCTATGCGAAGACCAGAAGACAGAGTGGGGGGGGGGCGGATATTTCTAGCCCACCCACACTGCTGTCACAGGCTGCTCCAGCTGCCATTGCATAGAAAGAAATCACCAGATACTTTTTACAGGCCTCCTATGTGCAAGGTTCCAGGAGAGCTTTAGTGATAGGGAAAGGAGTCTCCGGGCTAATTAAACGCAGATAATATAACATCAAGTAAGATGGGAGTCATTTCTCCCACCACTAAAATTACTTTTCCCTGACTTTCTGGTGAGTAATGCCCTAGCTTAAGCTGACCTTTATTTCTTTTGTATTCCTTGCTCAATGGGGGTGAGGATGGGCTAAAAAGTGGGATAATCCATAAATTTGGAAATTCCCCATTCTCCCTATAGATAATTCAACTGAGCCCATCTATTCATGCATGCATGCATTCAACAGATATCTGTTGAGCATCTAGCATATGCTGGAAAATGTTCAAGGAGCTGGCATGGAAGTAGGCATGGAATATTCAAGAACTAGCACCAAGACGTGTATAACTCAGGCCAACTGGGAAAGAAAATGATGGATTAGATTGGAGAGATGATTGGGGGCATATCAGTGGGAACTAAATGTTGAAAATAATCAGTGTAATGTAGTTTAAATTGTGTGAGACAATGAGAGTAAAGTGCTTTGCACAGTCCCTGGTATATAGCAGGTACTTAATAAATTTAGCTTTACCTCTTCCATCCTCTCAGCTAATTATGAAGAAATTGTCTCCAACACCCAGTGTATAAAACAAGGGCAAGTCCCAGGGTTTATTTTGCATCATAGCTGAACATGGGTTGAATTTTTGGCCACCAGCAAACCCCTGTCTTTAAAGAACTGTTTGTGAGGGCGCCTGGGTGGCTCAGATGGTGACGCGTCTGCCTTCGGCTCAGGTCACGATCCCAGGGTCCTCGGATCGAGTCCCGCATCGGGCTCCTTGCTCAGCAGGGAGTCTGCTTCTCCCTCTCCCTCTGCCTCTCCCCCTGCTTGTGCTCTCTCTGTCTCTCTCGCAAATGAATAAATAAAATCTTTAAAAAATAAATAAATAAAAAATAAAAAGAACTGTTTGTGAAACCAGAATGACTACAGACCCTCCCCGGTCATGCCCTGACCATGTTTGCCATTGTATTAAGGCAAGAGAACACGGTTATTATGGTTTCGAAATTCCTGTATGAGTCTAACAGTTTGTCAGGCGCGAAGAAATCTCTGCTGAAACCAGAGCCCCCTTGGAGAAGTGTGTGTTGGGGAGATGGGGCATAGAAGCGGGGATGGGAAGAGTATTGTCCTGCTCTTCCCAGGAACTCTACCTTTTATTGGACTTGATTTTGAATCCACAAAAAAAATGCAGCCCTTGTTCCGGGCACCTGAAGTGAAAACCCATGAACCCCACCCACTGAGGCATTTTCAGTAAGTTACTGATTTATTTCCTGAATGAATCACCCCCCGTTAGGGAATTTTTTTCACGAGACACATAAGACTTCTCGCTAAAAAAGTATGCAATCCGTTTTTTTCAGAAAACAGAACTTAAGGAATCGAAGAAAATCCCGGAAACTAAAGAAAAAACAAGGCAAAGATTCTTCCCAACTCAGTAGTACCATCTACTGGTGAAGAGGGGAATTGCGTTCCGGCCCTGCCCTCACCCTCTTCTCCTTGGTAGTGATAATCGCGTCTTTATTCTCCTCCGAAACCAGGACGCAGGTGCTGTAGGAGGACTGGAGCATGTTGATCACCAGGGAATTGGATAACACGTCCAGTTTCTTCACCTCATCCCCGGTCACGTTCACGCTTCCCGCAATTCCGTACCTAAGAAGAGGAAAGTCAATGAAATCACTAAGGGAATCCAATCTCCAGCAAAGGAGCCGAGACGCTAAGACACCACCGTGTATCCCGCCAATCCTCTCATGGCTGCAGAGTCTCCAAATTATACAGACCACGTACAACATGTCTCACAGCGGGGATTCTCAACCTTGCTTCCTTTACACCTCGGGGATATTTTCCTATCCCCTTATTCACCCAGAATTCAATCTTAATAAAACACAAACCTGCAGTCGGCAGTGGGAGGCAAAGGGAAAGACACATCGCCATCATTACTGACTCCAGCAAGTAAAGGCCCATGGCTTTCCAGCACTGAAGTCTCAGGTATCTCTTGATTACCCTCAAATAGTGGCCCGGTGGGCCGAATGAAAAATCGCTCTGTGGTAGCTTTGCATTCCTTAAGAAGGAAACTCGGGGTCATAATTAACTGATTTAATTTTGTTCTTCAGTACCATTTCAAGCAATGTAAGAAAAATTCTATCTAGCTTTATGTTTTGGAACGCAAAGGTCTCCCAGCTTCCACCCTCATGGGCAGGATTCTTCTAAAATGCCAACCAGATCACTCTGGTCTCACCCAGAGTTCCCAGGTTCCCCACAGTGGGCTTAAGGCCTAACCAAGGAAACCCTGTCCCACTCACCTCGCTCAGCCAGTCTAGCCTCTGGAATCCACCAGGCACACCCTTGCCTTACAGGTACCCCCGAGTTTGCCACCTTACCCCCACACTTTCCCCCAAGAGTGGCATGGCTATTACCCCACTCAAGCCTTTTTCATCTCAACAGCTACAAAGGTCCTGTGGCCACCAGTACCCAGCAAGCTGCTCCTCTCCTTTTCACCTTCACTCACTGTGTTTCCCCCACAGGAATGCTGTCTGCCAACCATCAGCTTCTCCCTACTCTCCCTTCTGATCCCTTCCGGAAGCTTCCGTGGTCCCACGACAGACCAGGCACATCCCCTGTCGTCCCTCCCACAGCATTTCACAATCTGTTCATTCGAATACCTTTCCTGCTGGATTGTCTGCTCAGGGAAGGCTAGAATGCTGGCCTACTACTGTACTGGTTTCCATAGTGCTCAGGGAAGTAGTAGATGCTCAATACATGTTCACTGAATTATGAAAAAGGCAAGGCAGGGAAGTAATTTCCTTACTTCTCCCTTATTTAATGCCATTTATTTGTTGAAGGAATCCTCCGGTGGTTCTAACAGGTAGCCAGGGCTGAGAACCACTGACCTACCCTAAGCAGGGGACAACTCATTTCCCACCCTCTTCCTTGACTGACAGCCTTCCTCCAGGGGCCCTCTACCCTTAACCCCCACCAACACCCCTCCTTCCAGAAAGAATGGAAGCTCATTCATAATGAGATCTAATTGTCTGACAACTGCTTCAAGTTAGGTCATGGATGCCAGAGAGCTTTATAACCCACAGGAAAACATCTTTAACCATTTTAACTAATCTGAAAGCTTTACTGACAATTTTTAAATGGGATATTCTACCACTGACAGTAGAAAACCATGAAGATGTTTCCAGAAGAAGCACTCTAGCTTTCCCTTCTTCCTACAACAATGAGCGGACAAAAAAGAATAAAAAACATGAAAATTTCCGATCCCTTTTGCATTCATTAAGTTTGTGCCTAAAAATGTCTTCCCAGAAAAAGGAAGTAAAAGAATGAGGGGCTTGAGGTCCCGTGGATGGGAAGGGATAGGAGTATGTGGAAGTCCCATTTTCATAAGCAGAATTGCTCCAGGACCGAGAGCGACCTTCTAGTAATATGAGAAGCAATTCCAGGGTCCTGTTTATTAATCTCAGCATTTTGTTAGAAAGAAGGAATTTCCAGACAATGGGCCATTTTGGTGTTTCTTACTGAGGAGCCAGGGGAAGGATGTCATCTTAATTGGCAGGATGTGGGGCTCCTGCCAGCCTGAGGACCTCAGCCTCTGAGAAGAAGGTGGATTCTGACATCTTGATTCGGTGGGCTGCACCTGCCACCTAGTGGACAATCGGCAGCATGGACCAGCCTGCCAGCAAATTTCCCCAGATCTGGGCTTGGAACCACTGTAATAATGAGCATTTGCTGAGCATTTCTTATGGATCCGGCACTGTTGAAATCTTCATCCTATGGATTCACTAAGCCTTACAACAACCCTATAAGTTAGGGGCTGTTAGCATCCCCTCCAGTTTACAAATGGGAAACTGAGGTCCTGACAAGAGTAGACAATCACATGGAAGGAAGAGCCAAGTTCAATAAACACCCTATTATCCAATTCCTGAGTCTGCTTCATCTAGACACTCAACAGCCACAAAGTTAGAGTTCTGAAGCTGATTAGTACAACCCTACCACGGCAGCCGCTGCCTACCTAAGCAGCCTGCACAGAGGAGGAACCCATTAAAGTGGGCAGATCATACTGAAATGGCAGCAAGTGGCGGAGATGCCCAGAAAATGACTCAAGCATAGCAGGACCCATATACAGGGACAGGTAAAGTCACTATTTAGTGTCACTCAGCATGGCCCATTACCTCATAGGAGCAGGACAGACGCAAATGGCTGCACCTCGTATTCGTGAAAGTTCTTAATCATAGAGCTTGGTCATTATTGCTGAATGAGGTAATAATAAGCAGGGAACGGAGATCACAATGCATCTTTTTTTTTTTTAAAGTAGGCTCCACTCCCAATGTGGAGCCCGACGCAGGGCTTGAACTCATGACCTTGAGATTGAGACCTGAGCTGAGATCAAGAGTCAGATGCTTAACTAACTGAGCCACCCAGGTACCCCATAACACTATCAAATTTTTTGTATTAAAAGTACTAAATTGTTAAGAATTAATATTTTAAGTTATTAGATTTTGTTATTTCTTTTTGTTATTTCATTTTTGGAGGAATAATAATAATGGGTCCCTTCAACTTTTGAGAAGACCGCCACCGGAATTGCTACTAAGAAAATGGAATCCCAGAGAAAGCCAGCTTCTTTTTACCGCAGACTTAAACTGGACACTTGGCTGTGTGAAAATTAATAAAGGGAAACCTCACTAAAATTGAGTCAGGAGGCCAGAAGGGGGAGCCCTCACACAGTGCTGCTGGAGGTCATTCCGGAAGTGTTGTCAATTCCAAACCCCAACCGAAGAATCCTCCGGGAAATCATCGATTACAGGCCCCCACAGGGAAAGATGCACATCGCATCTCCTACAAGAAATGGACTACCCCGGCAACTCAGCCAGTCAGAAATCATTATGGCCCTGAACTCTTGCTTTTGTTCAAAACAACAATTTCCAATTTCCTCCTCCATAAAATAACCTTCTCCTTTGTTAGACCAGCCTATGGTTTTTGACATAGCTTGCTTGTCCTAGATTGCAATTCTCTGCTATTCCCCAATAAACTCATTTTTGCTGGTAAGATAAGTGACTTATTTTTTAAGGTCAGCAGCTGTGACAGCAGCTGTAGCATGAACTTGGCTTCGTTCTGTGCTTGGACAGAGTACAGAAGAAAACAAAGTGGAAGAACGCTCTGCATTCCCTCCTCCTAAATCCAGAACCTCCCAGCTTCCTGCACACCAAGTAGAGAAGAAGATAAAGAGTCACAGAGAAGAAACAAAAAATTGTTTTTAAAGCAAAAACTCCTTTCCAAAGTAAGACTGGAGTTTCAGGGCAGAAAGTTATTTTGTAAATGATTCCTAGCTCCTAGCAGGTTGACAAAGTTCATGGCAAGAAAATGCTCCTATCTGCTAAAGAGCATAAAGCGAAATAAGTCTTCCTCGCTCTTTCTTTGTGCCACAAGAAACAAGTCACCATAATTCAACCTATATTTTTAATGCAACAAGCCCCTGAGCTTATATTACATGGCCACTGGAAAAATTATATATTAAGAAAAGGAAAAAGAAAAATTTTATCTTTTTTTCTCCATACCATGTCTCCACGTATTTTGTTCCTTTCTTGAAACAAGTCAAAAGCCCTTTACCAAAGACAGAAACTTTAAAAAGCGCCTTCCCTCCAGGGCACAGAGGCAAATAGCCCTTGACACGGCAGGCAGCTGGCCCAAGCACCTGCAGCTTTGCCCATGCCCCACCTGGGCCTGAATCCCTGCGTGTCTGAGCACCCGCACCTGCTCCCCCCGGACTCACAGGTGGGCCAGGCCAGCCTTGCGCACAGCCGAGGATATGGCTTTTATGGCCGTCAGCATGGAGTTCAGTAGCTGTGTGAGCTCCCCGGTTCCTTTGGCCTGACGCCCCTTTTCCATAACGAAGCGAGTGAGGGTGAGCATGTCCGTTTCGAAGGGGCTTCTGTCTGACATCGTGGCGGGTAACTTTTCAAATCCTTCTTTTCTCCCAGGAAGCTCTGTTTATCTCTAAAGGCTGTAGCTCCTCGGTATCAGAGCTGGTTCCTGCGGGCCCTGCTAGGACCTTTAAGGAAAAAGTGCCCCAACCCACGTGGTTAAGATAACTGGGCAAGTTGCCCTCAAGGAAATCTCTCTGGCAGGCTGATTGGTAGGCTGCCAAAGCACCACAAACAAGCTGTAAATAGAAATCAGGCAGCCCAGAAACACAAAAGATCCTTCCTAGGATCTTTTAAAGATCCTAAAGATACTAAAAGGTATCCTTTAGTAACTAGTGGGAGATGAGAAATCCAGCCACTAAAGAATGATCCATAAAACCCTCTCATTCAAGGACTCAGGATTCTTCGAATAGATCTACTGCAGAACCCAATTCACCAGTGCCTATGGGAGGCAGACTGGCAGGTAGCTTATCTGGGGTGTAGGTCACGTAGTAAGATAATGTCAATCCTGGGACCACTTAGCCAGGGGGTCTTTCATAAACGTTTGAAAGGGCGCTTCTTATTTCCAAAAAGCATGTATGACTGAGTGGGTATCCATAATAGATAACCAAATCTAGAAGAAGAAAATTATATTCCTAGCGCAGTGCCTCACATCAAGGTTGTTTTATCAGTTCCTAATTCAAAAATACTACTTGCTTACTGACAGGAAACACTAAGGAAATATATAAAGAAAAGTGAGGGGCGCCTGGGTGGCTCAGTTGGTTAAGCATCTGCCTTCGGCTCAGGTCATGATCCTAGGGTTCTTGGGATGGAGTCCTGGGATCAAGTCCCCCATGGGACTCCCTGCTCAGCCGGAAGTCTGCTTCTCCCTCTCCCTCTGCCCCTCCCCCTGCTTGTGCTCTCTCTCTCTCTCTCTCTCTCTCTCAAATAAATAAAATCTTTAAAAAAAAAATTAGAAAGAAAAGTGAGAGTCCTCACCACCAGCCCAGTCCCCAACCCACTCTCTAGGACTAACTGAGCTGGTGGGGGCCTGCACAGGGTGGACCAAGAACCTTCTGCAGGAGCACACAGACCCGGCACTGAGTCCCAAGCTAATTATCTGCTAGTTATCCTGGGAAAGTTTCAGAAGCCTCAGTTTCCTCTCTTATAAATGGGAAGAGCAGTAAAACATCTACCTTATAGAGTGGTTGTCAGGATTAAAAGTGATAAGATGAGCCGGTCACATAGTAGGTGTTCAGTATCTCAACTATTATAGACATATATAACTATTTTTGATGTATATATTTTAGATGTATAATTATTATGTGTACTTATAGTTTAGATGTATAACTATTGTTATAGTTTTTAGATGTATATGTAACTATTTTAGATGTATATATAACTATTTTTTAAAGATGTTGTTTATTTTCACAGAGAGAGAGAGCATAACAGGTTAAGCGGCAGAGGGAGAGGGAGAAGCAGGCTTCCCGCTGAATAGGGAGCCCGATATGGGGCTCAATCCCAGGACCCTGGAATCATGACCTGAGCTGAAGGCAGATGCTTAATGACTGAGCCACCCAGCCACCCCAGATGTATATATATTATGTGTACATATATAATTCCATTTTGCAAAATAGAGGAATATACACATGAATCTGCAATAGGATTTTTTCTTCTGACAGTTATTTCAATCAAAATGTGTTTAGCTGCAAGTAAGAGAAAACTCAGATGATTTAGATATGCGAGGGTTTGTTTTTCTCGTATTTTCTCATGAGTTCACTAGGAGGTGGCTGCTGGCATTTATTTAGCTATTCAAAGGTTCCATTAGGGGCCCCTCTGTCTCTTCTGTTATCCTTGGTCAGCTGGCTTCTGCCTCCCAGCTAAGACCTCTCAAGAGCACAAAAAAGGCAACCACCATTCTGAATGTCTAGCCCACATTGAAGACCCAAAGGGGGAGAAGGGAGCTCCAATCACATTAGTTCCCTTTTATTAGAAGAGAAATATTTCCCCAGAACACACACACACACACACACACACACACACACACACACACACACCAGTGGACTTCCTACATAGCTTTGGCCAGATTTGTGTGATATGGGGACCCCTTGCTACAGAGGTTGGGCACTGGTATCCATGGGTCAACCAATCTCATGTGGCTGCCATAGCAAAACATCTTGGAAATATACATCCATGTCAGTACACAGAGATACACTGCATTCCAATGTGCGGACTGTTCGATGATTTTGGAAATGTTTGCTCTTGAAACCGTGCTTCAACAAGCTTCCGTATCTTTGTGCACGTGTTTGTGTGAGCCTTCAGTAAGATACATCTGTGGAAGGGCACCTGCTCTGTCAGAACACTTAATTTTGACACCACCAGGATCTAGACCAGAAGCCCTCTTTCTCTTCTGAGAGCTTTGGTAAGAACTATAGAGGGAGGCTTCTACGTGACCTTGTCGTGTCATGTTGCTATTAACAAATAACTAAGTTTTGTCTTTCCAGTGGGACATCAACCATGATTCTTCTGACATAATTATCGGAAGAGCCGTGGCTGGATGTTGGGAGTTCTGGGCGCAAGGGAATACAAGAGAAAAGAGTGTTCTGGTTCTTGGTTTCCAGGTTTGCTGTGAAGTACAACATTGTCATCAAAGGATTTCCCACATGATGGTGCAAAACAATGCCAGTTCAGTGGGCCTTCACGTCTCCCCTAGAGAAATGATTATGTCCATTCACAAACACCCTTTCATGAATATTTATAGCAGCTCTATTTATCATGTCAGAGACTGCAAACCCAAATGCTCTCCAGTGAATGTTTAAACAAACTGGGGTAGATCCATAAAACGGACTAGTATTCAGCAATAAAAAGGAACAAACTTGTTGCATGCAGCCCTGGGACGAATCTCAAAGACACTGTACTAAGTGAAAGAAGCCAGTCTCAAAGATTATATATGGTATGATCCCATTTATATTTTGAAAAAACAAAATTAAAAAATATAAAGAGAACAATTCCATGGTTGGTTGCCAGGGCCTAGGGGGGTGGGGAGGGCCAGGACACGGGAGGGGTTTTTTGCCTGATGGGACTGTTCTGTATCCTAATTATGGTGACGGCAATTTGAATCTATATGTGTGTTAAACTCAAATAACTACATTTTTTTAAAAATTCATTTTACTGTACAACAAAAGACAGAATGGATCATGGACAGTCTGCAAACTGTACCAGTCCATGACAAAGTTAGTAGAAAAATTGAAAGTATTTAGAAATTTCTGTTGCAGTTGTCCTATGTTATGTTTGCTCTGTCTATATTAAAATGTGATTTAAATCTAGCAATAAGGGGCGCCTGGGTGACTCCGTCAATTAATCACCTGCCTTCGGCTCAGGTCATGATCTCGGGGTCCTGGGATCAAGCCCCACATCGGGCTCCCTGCTCCGTGGGAAGCCTGCTTCTCCCTCTCCCTCTGTTCCTCTCCCCTGCTCTCTCTCTCCATCTCTCTCTCAAATAAAATATAAAATCTTTTTTTAAAAAAATCAATAAATCTAGCAATAAAATGTAATTTAAAGTTAAATGAAATTGAAATCTAATAATAATCAGGGACTGCATTTTGTATGTAATTGTTTTTTATTTCATTTTTCCAGGGTTTTGTTTTTGTTTTTGTTTTTGTTTTTACCATTTTAACCATTTTTAAGCACACTGTGCAGTGGCAGCAAATACATTCACAGTGTGGTGTATCCCTCACCACCATCTGTCTCCAGAACTGTTTCATCTCCCCCCAACTCTGCTTAAATGATAACTCTCTTCACTGGTCTTTCCTGTAATTCTTCATATTATGTTTTATAAAGTATCTGTTAACAAGAGATTGGAAGTGAAACCAACCAACCAGTGCTTCAGGGCAAACTACCCGGAGAAGCTCTGCACCTGGCACGCGGGATGGAGGAATAGGCAGAAGCCTGGAGAACTTGGAGACAAGGACGGAGCAGTACTGGCTAGTGCCATTTATAAGAGGTCAATGACTCATCCATAAAGGGAACAGGGGAGGGTCCGGTATTTCTGCCACCATCTGGCCCGGGCTGACAGCTGGGTGCAGCAATCATACCACTTTGCAGCTACACTTAAATGTTAGAAGTTCAAGTTACCCAATGGTCTAAAATTGCAACGGACGACCTTTCAGCAAATGCCAAAGTTCTTTCAGGGCACACAACAGGGTAGAAACAGAATGGCCATGGTGGAAGCCGGGCGAAAGGGAGAGCAGTACCCGGCTTACGTTCACTTCAATGCCACTGATACACTGGAGACCCCAAAGCCCCCTGTGGCCTCACTCTGCTTGGTGGAGGATGCTCACAGACCTGAGCCTAAGTGAGTAAGGACAAGCAGACCCTCCTGACAGTTGAGGCGACCTTGCTCTTGCATCAGGATCTGAAGACAAAGACAAGGATCTAGAAGGTGACTCTAGAGTATCAACTGAAGGACACTTCTTTGTTAGCAAAACCCCACTAAGAGGATTTACATATACTCTCCCATGTAATCCCAACGTATGGGGTTGTTTTTTAAGTTGTCAATCAGAAAAGATTTTATTATAAGAAACAATTCCATCAGGCAAAAAAGCAAAAAAAAAAAAATGCAATTGTGGCAAAATGTTTAAAAATATCCACACATTTGCCCCCATAGGACTGCAGGGTTTACTATGTACCTGAGCATGGGACACGGAGGCCATTGTAAGCTACTCCACGTGGGGAATCTGATTCCTTGGGGATCACCTTACTTTTCCTCACACACCAATGAAATCAGCTTAAGCTTCAACTTTGTAGGATAACAGAAAACAAAGATGGGAAACCAAGAATCCAATTTCTACTTTCCTATAATATACCAAGTCTGGTTTTCAGTGCATAAAAATATATATGTAGGAAAGTACTTCAAGTGGAAAACAAAATTAAAGTGGAACCAGCCCATGTTAGATCTATGTTTTAATTCTGTGGTAACTGCTATGCTTTTTACTTTTACTCTCATCATGCTGTATGATTTAAAAAAAACAACTTCTTGGGCGCCTGGGTGGCTCAGTTGGTTAGGCGACTGCGTTCGGCTCAGGTCATGATCCTGGAGTCCCGGGATCGAGTCCCGCATCGGGCTCCCTGCTCGGC